TATAGGGAGAGTATAGATGAGTCTGAATGGGTTTCTAAAAAGGTTTTTAAAATAGGGAAATTGACCTAAATACTCACTAATCATAAACCTTAATCAATAATAGTCACTTTATAAAACTTAGGGCTCGTTTGGGAGTGATTCTGGATATGCTAGAATCATTTCTACAGAGAACCACCTCTCATGTGCTTCTATATAAATACTTTAAGTGATTTTAATGATTCTTAGCAGAAGCACTTCCCATGTGCTTCTCTATAAAATCACTTAAAACCACTTAAAGTGATTATTTGGAGAAGTGATTCTCCACATAAGTGATTTTTGGCCTATCCAAAATCACTCCCAAACGAGTCCTTAATCACAAATACTCAATTTCTGGATATGCTAGAATCATTTCTACAGAGAACCACCTCTCATGTGCTTCTATATAAATACTTTAAGTGATTTTAATGATTCTTAGTAGAAGCACTTCCCATGTGCTTCTCTATAAAATCACTTAAAACCACTTAAAGTGATTATTTGGAGAAGTGATTCTCCACATAAGTGATTTTTGGCCTATCCAAAATCACTCCCAAACGAGTCCTTAATCACAAATACTCAATTTCTAACCTGAAAATACCAAATTGCCCTCCATATAAATACTTCAATATTCACCCTTTATTCCCCTTGAAAAATTCATTGTCTGAAACTATCCCAGCTCTTCTTTCCTCTATCACACCCGATGAAAGAAAACACAGAGAATCTAACCAAGCTATTCGAAGAGCATCTAAATTAATTGTCTTAATCTGAATCTAACTCTCCTAGCCCATCTCTCCTCTATCTTACTCATCGATTTACTAATGCATAACAAGTGATTTCTTGGGATGACTTGCCTCTCCAGCAGGATGTGTCCTACATTGAAGAACCAGTTTTGATTTTGCCCTATGAAACAAAGCAAATGTAATACTCTGAAAAATTCAAGGTGAATTTTTGTATTTCAGTAAAAACAAAAAAAAATTATGGTGAAGAATATTGGATTAAGTGTGTTTAATTTCAAGTTGGACAAAATGCCCTTATGTAACATTTTGTGAATTTTATAGAGGACATTTAAGGAATTGAAGTGAGACCATTATGATTCTCAGGTTAAACGATAGCATTCGACTTAGTGAATGCGTAGAAAATCGTTTCTGAATTTTTGGCCAAAATAACTAAAATACCCCTACGTGTGGAATTTTTTATCTCCTCATCTTCATTTTCATCTTCTACAACCACAACATCATTTAAAAGATTAGAACCAACTTTGTTATCAACTATCTTACCTGATCTAAGCACATGAATGGCCTTGACTTAGTGGTTTTTTGGATTGATCACGGTTTGGCTTGGCCATCTTTGAGTTTCCAATTTGGAGATGGAGGCTTGTGTAGTTTGCTGGAAATTAGATTGGTTGATTGCCATTTGCTATATCCTCCAATGATGATGATTCTTATTGGCCTTTGGAATCAAGGAGGATTGGCTTGATTCTGGATATTCCTCCATGAAAAGTTTGGATGATTCCCCAAACCTGGATTATAACTTTGAGAGTATGGATCATTTATTGGACCTTGGTTGTAGGACATGACCAAGTTAGCTTGCTCTTGCACAAATTCTAGATATGCAGCTCCCAGTGAACAAGCTATGGTAACATGGTCATGAGTTTCACAGATCGTACACACTTCCTTCGGAGGGTTGCTTGAATTCATTGAAAGAAGAGTATCTAGTTTTTGTCCTAATTTTGAAATCTGCACACTAGAAGCATCATTAGAATTACAAAATAACACGTTTACCTCTTGTATTAGTGTGTTGGGTATCCATTACTATTTCCTCAAAGAGTTCACACGTCTCTTCGGGAGTCATGGTTTCTCGTATAGATGGCTAGTGTTTAGGCTGGGGCCTGAGCTCGTATATGATCTTGCGATAAGGCTATCTCCGGTATAAGATCTGCAAACTTAGAACACTATCAAGATAAGAGCGAACTGGGGCTGATCCCAATTGAGCCCTCTCCGATGATTAAGTCAGAAACACGCTTGAGCTAAGGAGAATAGATGTAGGGTTTTCACAATGAGAGTATTTATTACCTTTGTCCAGAGATTGGTGAAGGGTATTTATAGGAGGGAGATGGCCCTCCATATCTTTAATGAAAGAGATATTTATCCTCTGGATTGGACTATATTTAATGTTATGTTTCTGATGAACCTACTTCCTTGACAGGGGCCAGGGAGCGAAGTGACAGGTGAACAATGATGGGAAGTGCATTTAAGAATCCCTTCCCATTGCCAGCCTGCCCGTCCGGAGATGAAAGAATAAGGTGACACCTGGTTAATGATGGGATGTGCATGAACCGACCCTCTCCTTCTGTCAGGCTATCTCATTAATGCTCTTCTGGTGTAGGGCATATGGGGCATAGTAGTCGGGTCGGTGGATATACTTCCAATCACTAGTCCAAATCCTGCTCCGCCACTTTCTACTTGAGGAGCCTATCGTTGATGACAAGGTTTGTTTATGTGTTCGGGTCGAGCGACTTGATCCCTCAAGGCTACGTGGCGTTCTCTGGCAAGCTCGGCTCACACTGATGGTAGAGTCCATCAACACATCTGATCATCAAGTACTGGAGTTGGCATCTTGAAGCTTGTATATATGGGGATGTTTGTTTTTGAATAGGGATGATGTATCCCTTTGTTTTACAGTGTTGTTATTTTGGAGGTCTTTTCTGGTGTAATAAGAGTAAGACCCGGCTATGTATATATATGTAATGTAATGGCATTCGCCTGCTTTTGGACTTTAAACTTCTCTTTCATGTTCAGTGCACTAACTAGTAGTTGATTTAGTTAGCTGAACTCCAGCTTTGTCTCAACATTGATACAAAGAGATCAGATTCTGCTTTCTTCTTCTCTAAAGTTCCCTCTAGCTGTCTTTTCACCTAAAAGTAATGATGGCGTGACTTGAGAACGACAATTCTCGAGCAACTAGTTCTGTGAGAGAAATTTCCACAAAATGCTGTTTCGTTTGGTCAGAAACTTGTGTTCTCTTGTTTTGGAAATCATTCAATTCTCCCACTTGAGTAAACCTACCACTCAACTCATTTAGAAATCACATCACATCAGTCTGTCATAGAGTTGAAAGAGAACCCATTGAGAACTTGTGACAACTGGGCTGAACCACACTAAATTACAAATGAGAAAAAAATTATAAATGTGGTTTTCTAAAATGTGTTTCTATTAAATTTTGACGTTCGGATTTATATGCGACCATATTTGACCCTGTGAAGAAGAGATGCATAGTAGAGATGAGTTTTTGGTTTTTGGTTTTTGGTTTTTTTTTTCTATTTATATGGAAAGAGTATTACAAAGTAAAACCTCTAGGGCATGGAAGCTCAAAGAGGTTAAAATAGAAAGGAGATACAATTGAGAGAGGCAAATCTTGCTCGCAAACAACATAAACAGAGAGATGACTTGGTCAAGATAATATGCCCCATTTTTTTATACTCAAGTTTAATCATTTTCTCCCCTTGCAGTAAAATAATTTAAAATATCGTTTAGATTGCTTTTTCAGAGATCGACAGATTGAACAATTTTCTCTTCACAGAAAATGTAGGGTTGTAAATTGTTGGATTGTATATATATAGGAAGTAGGTCTTCTTCTGTGTAAGTTTACGACAGGTTTTCGACCCCAAAAAAAAAAGGTTTGTGGCAGGGCAGGCCATGTTGCATATTTTACGGCATTTCTGATTTTTGATTTTTGCATATTTTATGCCATGTTGCAAACTTCAATTCCATTTCTGATTTTTTCTTTCTTTTGAAGTGTCTTACCGTGAAAAACAAAAGGAAAGAAGAAAAACATTATCAAGTGGGGCCGGAGTTGGGCCCATTGAATACATGATTCTGCTTTTTCAATCAAGCCCAAAATTAAGGTCCAGTAAGACCATCTCCAATCCATGAGGGGCTAAACTCAAATTTTCCCCCTCCAAAAAGTGACTATTTGGGTTTGCCCGAACTCAAATTGTTTTTTCTCCCAACCCTCCGGACTCAAATTTTAAGTCCACAACTTTATTAAATTGTTTAAGAATGGTTTAAGTCTAATTTTTTTTTATTTATGGATAACTTTTCTTCATTCAATCTTTTTAAATAACTTCATAATTAAATTTTTTGAACAATTTGACCTAAAAAAAATTGAAATTCCACAAATATAATTTGACCTATATTAATTTAAAATATTGTTTTGACCATTGGATTAGATAATTATCAAGTGGGGCCGGAGTTGGGCCCATTGAATACATGATTCTGCTTTTTCAATCAAGCCCAAAATTAAGGTCCAGTAAGACCATCTCCAATCCATGAGGGGCTAAACTCAAATTTTCCCCCTCCAAAAAGTGACTATTTGGGTTTGCCCGAACTCAAATTGTTTTTTCTCCCAACCCTCCGGACTCAAATTTTAAGTCCACAACTTTATTAAATTGTTTAAGAATGGTTTAAGTCTAATTTTTTTTTATTTATGGATAACTTTTCTTCATTCAATCTTTTTAAATAACTTCATAATTAAATTTTTTGAACAATTTGACCTAAAAAAAATTGAAATTCCACAAATATAATTTGACCTAGATTAATTTAAAATATTGTTTTGACCATTGGATTAGATCGTTGATTTAAGTTACATTTAGAATATAAAAACAAAAACAAAAAAACCAAATAGCAACAGCAGCTTGACAAGTGGCGGGACAAGCAGACAAACTTGAACAGCACAGCAGGTCAGCTGGGGCCCATGTCAGATTTTGTGCACATGGGGCTGTTTTAGGTGCAGTGGGCTCCATTGAATAGTGTTGGGCCCAGGCAATACTTGGACCAATATTTGGGTTTTCCCAAATTTTGGGTCCTTCATTTTGTTGGGTTGGGGGAGGTTTGGGGCAATATTTTGGGTTTGGGTCTTTGCATTGGAGATGGCCTAAGGACGCAAGGGTAGTTAATAAAAAGAGCACCAACTTACAGAGCACATATATTTTCATCTTCTCCACTCCAGAGAGCCCTACTCTACATCTACCGTCTAAGCCTAAAAAGCTGCACTTAGGTCTCCTCTTGGTAACTCTTACAAAACTTTGTCCATCTCTTAATTTTCTCATGTTTTTGTTTGTTTGGAAAAAATATGTAATATATATATATATATGGACCAATTTTTTTTTCTTCTTATTTATTTATTTATTTTTGTATTGGAAGGTCCATGCAAAGTATTTAGAAGATTGTATTTTGAGTTAAATTTTCCAGTTTCTAAATAGAAAAAGGGGGAATATATATTTATGATTATTCGTTTTTGATACTTTTTTCTTTAGTTTTATTATATATAAAAATCAGTCCCGTTCTCCTGACCCTTGTGGTCCAAGGAGTTTGTGGTCACTCACCCTTGGATCTAATCTAAAGGTGTAGAAAAAATTAATTTAAAAAACCATATAAATATTTATATTATTTTAACTTACCCAAAATACGTTTTCTGAAAAGAAAAAAAGAAAAAAAGAATACACCTCTTGCTTTTTTGTTCTGTCGCTCAAGAAGCTTGTAGCCGCTGCCCTCCTCCTCAGATTCTGCCATCGCAGTGGAGGGAGGTGCGGCTTCAATTACACAACCTAGCGTCGCCGATTCCAACAAGTGTGACCAACGTGTCATTGAACATCCACGAAACTCTCATACATATTCATCTTTAGTGTTCAGATACTATTTTCCTCGGTTACAGATAGTAAACCACAATAGATTTTCTTCTACTGTTGTAGTTTTCTTCTGGGTTTGATTGCAATGGCGTGCAGCAGTGTTCAAGATTGATTGTCCTTTGTTTTCATCGATGGGAATAAATCTCATGGTTTTACAGCTTTCTCTTCTGACAATCATCAAAAGATGAACTCAGCAATCAATTTATCGATTTGGGTACGAGAGATACGGCCTCAGAGACCGCCCAAGCCTGTGACGATACAACCATCATACATTATCATGTAGGCTTTTGATCAAAGCTAATTTTCCACAGTTGAGCTGCTGTTATATTCTTTTGTTTTTTGTTTAGGTTGGAGGAATTGTTTATTTTGTTCAAAATGATCATTTTCTTTTCATTAATTTTTTAGGGTCTGAAATTGCTCAAGGCATCATTGGAGTCTAACGCAGTTCTCACCAATGTCTTCCTTGGGAAGAAAGAGGAGTAAACATGTCAACTTTGCGCCTGATCAATTCTGGAAATGGAATTTTGGAGCATGTTTAACTGTTGTGCGTCTGAGTTGGGACTAGGGATTCATATAGAGTGTCTTACACTGTTATATATAGTATAGCCGCTCGGCTATACGTTTTAAATATAATATATTAAAAGCGTATAGCCGCACGGCTATGCTATACACTGTTTTTAAATTTTTTTCAGAAGTGAAAAGTATGGCCGCGCGGCTATACTCTGTTTGCTAATTTTTTTTAAGAAGTAAAAAGTATGGCCGCGCGGCTATACTCTGTTTGCTAATTTTTTTTAAGAAGTAAAAAGTATGGCCGCGCGGCTAAACTGTTTAAATATAATATATTAGAAGAGTATAGCTCGACGGCTATACTCCCTTTTTAAAATTTTTTTTCCTGAAATTAATAGTATAGCCGCTAAAGCCATCAAACGTTGTTTCCTGAAATTCATTTCTCCTTAATTGAAACGAGTCTTCATATTTATTTGGATATTGCTTTCTGATACATAAATTCACATTGTACCAAATCCATCAAACGTTGTTCCATGCAGCTGGTTCTTGATCTTTGCCAGGGTTGGGCTTGGTGGAGTGAAGCATGAAGTTGCATGCTGCAACAGCCTCTGCAACTGTGAGATAAATCTATCCTTGACATGTTTTCTCAATCAACTCTGACTTGTTCATCTTCTTCATCACCTCGCTTCCCGGGTTCGCCAGTACAAGCTAAACACAGATGGGAACAAAATTACAGAGTTATATAAACAGATGAAATAAAAATTTGGAAGGAAATATTTGATAAATTGAAAGAGACTGTTGCAGATTTTTGAACCTGGAGCCCCCTTCTGTCAACAAGCTTTTTGACCTTTTCAAACATGCTTATCCCACTTGTGTCTATGTTACCAACAGCTGCCAATTAAACCAGAAAACAAATTAATTTCAGGGTAAAAAATGTCACATTAATTTTCTTTATATACATATGTACTATTTGTTTCCAGGTTACCAGTCATATACATATTGTAAGCTACTTTCCCCTGCAGATTTGATCCTATCTTCCTCATCATTTATCCACCTTGTAATCCTGAAAACAAGTAGGACATTGGGTCAACTTCCAGATTATTATTTTTAAATTTGATTATAACATGCAAGAGTGTGTTCAGGGTTAATTAATTAGTACCTTTCTCTTAAGTAGTTGGTATTTGCAAAGTAAATGGGAGCATCAATCTCAAGTATGAGAATTCCAGGAACATTGCTTGCATTGGGATATTGATCAACATTTCTGTAAACCATGGAATTCGGAAGGTTTCCTTGAACAAAAGTCCTTGGCCTTGCCAGAAACAAAAGTACCCTGATCACAGATATTGCAACCTACACACAAGAAAAAAGAAAAATTAGTTCTAATAAGTAATGTTAAGTTGTTGATATGGTGTTATTGTCACACACAATAATTTTTTACTGGTGTGACATATAGTTGTATGTACCACTAAGACTAGGCTGATTTCAACGCTGCCAAAAGCGACCCCGATACAGGCACTCATGCACACAACAAAGTCAAACATGTCAACCTTCCAGAGGTGAATTGCAGCTTCATAATCTATGAGGCCGAGCATGGCGGCTATTATAATAGCAGACAGCACAACCAGGGGAGTGTAATGGAACAGAGGGGTGAGGAACAACAATGTGAACATAACTGCAATTGCCATGACAACATTTGACATTGCCGTCTTGCATCCTGCATTGTAGTTAACTGCTGATCTGGGAAATGGCCCTGAAAATTGATGAAAAAATTTCGCTTAATTAGCAACATGAAACGAATCTAATTAAGATTAAACCCCTTAATTTAATTAGTATTAAATGTGTACAATGAGTGATTAACATGTGGTGAGGTAGCAAGAAGTGCAAGAACCAGCAACGTTCATCATCCCAATGGCAATCATTTCTTTGTTCCCATCAATGTGGTCATTCTTGAACATGGAAAAGCTTCTCCCTACTGCTATTCCTTCCTGCACATAGCAATTAGGAAAACCCACAATCCATTAATTGTTATAATTAAGAACGGTTTGCAATACAACATGTTCTTTCTCGTGATCAACTGGCCTAAAAAATATCAGTAACTAAAGAATTATGTTAATTACTTACTGCGAGAGCTATGACTCCAGTTTTGAAAGCTGTTGTCAGATAAGGAGACACAAACAGAAGGTCTCCAAAGGACATTGGATTAAGCCCCTTCTTCAGCTTTCCTATCTGACAATATATATCCACCAGAAAATTCAGGCCTTAATTAAAAAAAATTGTCATTATAGGTAAAAACCAAAATACAAAATACAAAAAGCTTTTACAGGCTAAAATCTCTATTGCTCCCTCTAGCCACATCTTTCTTTTTTCAGGATGCAAAACACATAATCAAAAGCCAGTTTTCTTATAGCGGCCATCAGATATTGAAGCGAGTTCATAATTTAGCTAAAGTCAAATAAAAAAATGGACCCGCCTAGACCCGCCTAGGCGGCAACCTAGAGCGTAGGCCGATTTTTCCAACAGCCTAACTGAACAAAAGCATAGTTTATAGGTTTTGAGCTCTAATTATGAACATCATTACCGAATTTAACATTACAGAACAAAATCCACCACCTGTTTTAGTTTATAGGTCTGTGTACATAGATTTTCCAAAATAAACAAAATATAAAGATAATTTAGTTAAAACTACAAGTCATTTGAATGCATTCCACTAAAAAGCAGGAAGCAGAGTAATTGGAGACTGAGCTTAGTGAAAAGAAAAACCTTGGGTTGAAGAAACTATCCCACCAGTCAGAGTCTGTGGCTTTAAGCTCGACTGGAACCAAACTTAAGTTTTTCTTCAATTTCCTAACTTTCTTGCTTTTCTTTGAATTCTTGGGAGGCTCCATGAGAGCTCAAATGAGGAATTGCCCACCCCTTTTTTGGGCTTGAACTTGAAGACTTTGATGTGAAGTATGATTCAGTGAAGCGAGCCAGGCAGAGAGGGGAATGTAAAGCCTGTATAGCTTTTTTTGGCCCTTTTTTTTATTTTTTTTCAAAATAAATAGTATAGCCGATCGGCTATACTATTTAAATATTATATTTTATATTTAAATGGTATAGCCGTCCGGCTATACTCCTTTTTTTCCCCTGAAATTAACAGTATAGCCAACCGGCTATACCTGGGTTTTTTTTTCTATTTTTTTTAAAAATAAATCGTATAGCCGGCTATACTCTTTTTAACATTTTTTTCAATTAATAGTATAGCCGACCGGCTAGACTCCATTTTTTAAAAAAAATTTCCTAAAATTAATAGTCTAGCCGACCGGCTATACTCCATTTTTTAAAGTTTATTCCAATTATAGTATAGCCGCGCGGCTATACTGTTAAATACAATATATTAAAAAAGCGCTGTGTTTTTCCAATTTTTTTTTAAATAAATAGCATGGCTATACTCCGTTTTAAATTTTTCCTAAATTAATAGTATAGCCGCGCGGCTATACGCCGTTTTTTTAAAATTTTTATTCCAATTAATAGTATAGCAGCGCGGCTATATGTATAAATACAATATATTAAAATAGTATATCCGTGCGGCTATACTCGGTTCATCCGGTGGTGGAGGAGGGTATGTGAAAGATGTTGTTACATACATGATAATGGATAATCTGGAAGTGAAGCCTATGTCTACCATATCGTGATGCTGAACAAGTTCAATGTTAAGGAAGTTGGTTCCCTTGAAGAGAGGATCGTTCATCTAAGCATGGATGAGGTTTGCGTTCTTTTTGTTTTTGTTTTGGTTGGAGGTATTTTTATCTTATTGAAAATGATGATTTTCTTTTCATGAATTCTTAGGGTCTAAAATTGCTGAAGGCATCATTGGAATCCAATGCAGTTCTCACCAATGTGTTCCTTTGTGGGCAGTTAACACCATATCCTTTTCACCCCATTGAAGTTCCTTTGTGGATGATTTCAAGGCTTACACTGAAATCTGTTTTAGAACATTCGGAGATCGGGTAAAAAATTGGATCGCAATCAACAAGCCGTTAATCATTGCCAAATTGGGATATGACCTTGGAATTTATGCTCCGGGAAGGCTTTCTGTTCCAGTAGGGTTTCCATGCAGGTAAGGCAATTCAGTCACTGAACCTTACATTGTGAGCCATAGCCTTCTCCTAGGAGTCCTAGCCCATGCCACAGTTGTTGAGCTTTACAGAGAAACAAGGTGGACAAATTGGAATTAGTCTTATAGGCGAATATGTGGAGCATTACTCAGAATCAACAGAAGACAGAGCTGGAGTAAAGAGAAATTTGATGGTACACGGAGCCATTGGTATATGGAGATTAACCAAAGGGCATGAGACATTTGGTCAAGGATGTCACATCCCGGATCGGCTCTGTCATAGCACGATATTGTCCGCTTTGGGCCCCTCTCTCTGCCCTCACGTTTTTGTTTTTGGGAGCTCACGAGCAACTTCCTAGTGGGTCACCCATCCTGGGATTGCTTTAGCCCACAACTCGCTTAACTTTGGAGTTCCCATGACTCCGAAGCCAGTGAGCTCCCAAAAGGCCTCGTGCTAGATGGATGCGAGCATGTACATATAAGGCACATCACCCCCTCTCCGTTGGTCGATGTGGGATCTTTACAATCCACCCCCCTTATGGGCCCGACGTCCTCGTCTGCACACTCGCACCACACGGCAGAGTGGCTCTGATACCAAATTGTCACATCCCGGATCGGCTTTGCCGTAGCACAATATTGTCCGCTTCGGGCCCCCCTCTCTGCCCTCACGGTTTTGTTTTTGGGAGCTCACGAGCAAAGTGGGTCACCCATCCTGGAATTGCTCTAGCCCCCAACTCGCTTAACTTCGGAGTTCCCATGACTCCGAAGCCAGTGAGCTCCCAAAAGGCCTCATGCTAGATGGATGCGAGCATGTACATATAAGGCACATCACCCCCTCTCCGTTGGTCGATGTGGGATCTTACAAAGGAAAGGCTGCCCATTTTCACCAAGGAAGAGAGGAGATTGTTGAAGGATTCCTTTGATTTTGTTGGCATCAACAATTACACCTAAAGATATGGTAAAAACGACCCTGCAAGTCCAGAGAAGCCAATCTGCTACTGAAACGATCCTTTAGCTCCAAAGAAGCCTCAAGATATGTCTATACCTTACAATTTGGGCTTTTACTACATCAATTACAAAAACAATCTCAAGCGTATTCCCAAAGAGTTTGCTAAGTGGTTCTCTAAATTCCTAAAAGGGTGAGAGAAATAGAGATCAAGCTCTAGATGCATGTTGATGATGACCAAGTTCCAATGTTGAGTTTCATTGGCACAATGCCCTGTACCATGATACACAATGTTGAGGTTCACTGCAATAAAGGCAACGTTTGAGTGCTTCAATTATCAATCTATAATTAGGCAATACGAAACAAATATTGGCATCTGCTGGTAGACAATAAGCTATGTCTTCTTCATCACTAGTTTAATATGGCAGCAACCTCCAACCCTAGTGTGAGCTTGAAGCTCCTAATAGACACTAGCCACAAAGTTTTGTTTGCTGAAGTGAGCAAAGAAATTGTTGATTGTTTCTTAACTATTCTGTCTTTGCATGTTGGCACCATCATTAGCGCTCCTCTCCAAGAACTGCATGGTTGGCTGCTTAGGCCAACTTTATAAGATTTGCAGCCCAATTTTGGCAAGGACAAGTTGCTCAAACCCAATTCATCATTTGCTGACCAATAATAACTCCAATGCCAAACAGTTCTACATTTATAATTCTTTACTTAGTTACCAACTACAAAAATCTCTCTTTCTATTGCTATCTCTACGTATATATGCCGTTGCATTGCACCTCTTGGTATTAGTAGGTATTTTATGACTCTCTACGACAAAATTCTTGACTTCACCTATGTAGGTGTCTAAGGTTTGAAACTTCAGACTAAATTACTGATCTGAGACTAAAGTTAGAGTTAGTTGATTAAATTACAATTTGTGTCACATTATCTTTGTATTAAATTAAAAACATTGGTATGTGTCCTTGCTTGGGTTTACCTCATGACCCAGTCAAAAAAACAAAAAAGATTCCTTTACTTTGATAGGCACTACGGGGCCGAAAAGATCAAAATAAAACAGAAGGGAACATTTCAAAGGCATCCCATTCTCCCACAACTTAAACGGAGTAAGCTTGTGCCCCAAGTTGGCAAGAGCATTAACCGTAAAAGTAGCCTCCTTAAACACATGCTTAGAAGCCATTTTCCCACAAATGGAACAAAACAAGATAATGTCCTGAATAAGCTGCCTGGTTTACACAGTCAATAATAAAGCTTAGAATCACCTTTAATCATTCCTATTCGCCAATCTTTATGAATAGCATAGGCCAAACCACCTCAAAAAGCAAGGCACTCGAACACAATGATAGTAACTTCTCCAATAAGCGCTATTACCTTCAACCACTACTTTTTGCCAACCCACGGGCTATTGCCACTAGTAGGGGTGGGCATCAATCTGACTGAACTGAGGAAATTGGCCGAACCAAACCATAATTATCGGTTTGGTTTGGTTTTGACCAAGAAAAAGTCAAATGGTTTAAAAGCCGAAACGAACTGTATATGGTTTGGTTTGGTTTGGTTTGGTTTTGAGCTTTTGTAAACCAACCTAAACCAAGCCGGATTGTTTATGTGTATATTTATTTATTTATATTTTATTTTACATGTGTAATACTCTAATTAGTTAATAACTATATATGAATATTTGAATTGAGCTATATTAGTTAGTGAAATATAAAGTTTTATGACATTTTGAGTTCTAGGATGGTCTCGTACTCTAGAAAATGATTTATATATGAAGTAAGTTGTGAATTTATTGGTTATAATTGGGCTAACAATGTTGAAAAAATGCAAAAAGAAAGAGAATTGGGCTTAGGCCCAAATCGGCTGAACCAAACCAAACAAAACTAAACCAAACCGTCTAAAATTGGTTTGATTTAGTTCGGTTTCTTTTATAATTTTTATCCAAATCGAACTGAACTGAACCGTTATATTGTAATTGGTTCGACCGTAATTTTGAGGTGAAACCGATCCAATCCAGACCGCGTCCACCCCTTGCCACTAGTGCTAATGGTCCTTTAAAGGAGTTGCCAGCATTTATAGTACATTGAAGAAGAAGAAAACTCCGAAAAAGAAAAAGTAGAAAACTGACCATTGAGTTTTCAATCAATGATGTGTCTAGTCTAGTGTCTTTTTCAATTCATT